GTTTTATTTCAAAGACATTTATTTATTGCATTGTCATTCGAAAGCAGAAAAATCATAGCATCAAATTTAAAGGCAGGCGGTTTGTTTCATTTCATAGTTACAATTTATGGTTGTTACATTTCACAGTTACAGTTTATGATACAGATTAACTTCCCTCAGGTAGTTCAGTATCAGATGGGCGTTCACGCGTGAGAACAGATCTTTTAGGTTTGTTGCATCATAATGTGAGTCCCTTGCAGGCGATAAGTCCACGCATTCAAGCAGAATATGCTTGACGGTGAACACCTCATCGCAAAGAGACACACATGGGGTCCATCCCCATCCGTTTTGAGCAGATAGTCATGTGTAAATCGACTGTGGCCAATACGACATCGTCGTAAAATTACCTCATCGCGTCTTGACTGACATCCCAAATAGGTATAACCGATTGTTGGCTTCAATTCATGGAGTTTGTTTCTTCCTACTTGAGTGTCCCACCTTTCTTGCATCAGGTCCCGAGTATAGCTTTTGATAGTGGGTTTGAAGTCACTGTACGGGATTAGCAGTGGAGATAGGGGCTTTTCGAGAGCTGCTTTTGCTGCAGCATCGGCCTTAGTGTTACCTGTTATGCCGACGTGACCCGGCAACCAGCAGAGGATGATGTCATATTGGCTAGTAGAAAGGTCGTTGTACAGTTCTAATATGTCCAGGATGATTGGGTGACTTGAAGTCACGTTTAGAAGTGCTTGAAGGCAGGATAATGAATCTGTAAGTATGATGAAGTTTTTGGACTGATTTTGCTGTTGAATGTAGGTCAGAGCTGAAGATAGCTTTGGCTTCAGCGGTGAAAATGGAACTGTTGTCGGGGATCCTAGAGGAGACAGTCTTGGCTCCAATGACTGTAGCGCTGGCAACTTGGCCATCGTCCTTGGATCCGTCTGTGAAAATGGATCTGTGAGTGTTATACTTAGAACGTAACTGGTTGTATTCCTGTTGGAACACCAAGGGATTTGTTTCAGACTTTTGAGTTTGGTGAGGGTAAAATCGACCTGTGGTTTCACCATTTGCCATGGTGGTGAGGACAGAAGTCGGTATGGTGCAATGATGTCGAGATCAATTTTAGCTGCAGATATGTGTGGTTTGATCCTGATTCCAAGTGGTGGAACCAGGCTTGGCAGTTTAGGAAATAAGTTTTTCATAGAGCGGGTTGAAAACACAATTGTATGCTGGATTGGGCTCATTTGAACGTAATTTGGTGATATACTGCAGTGAGAGTTTGATGTGGCGTTGTTCAAGGGAAGGTTCGTTGGCCTCTGCATATAGACTGTCTACCGGAGAGGTCCTAAAAGCTCCCAGGCAGAGCCTCAGTCCTTGGTGGTGGATAGAGTCTAATTTTTCTAAATTGCTTTTGCAGGCTCCACCGTAGACAATGGAGCCATAATCTAGTTTACTGCGGACTAATGATCTGTACAAGTGAAGGAGCGTGGTCTGATCCCCTCCCCACTCTGTATTTGAAACTACTTTTAGCAAGTCTAAAGCCTTCAAGCACTTTGTTTTCAAATATTTTATGTGTGGTAAGAATGTCAGGTGGCGGTCGAATATGAGTCCAAGGAATTTGGCCTCTTCTACTACTTTGATGGGAGTACCATCTAAAGTTAGGTCTGGATCCTTGTGTGGTTTGTATTTACGACAAAAGTGAATACAATTTGTTTTGGATTTTGAAAACTTAAAACCATTTTCATTGGCCCATTTTTGGATTTTGTTAAGGCAGAGTTGTAGCTGCCTTTCTATTGTGTGCATGTTCTTACCACGACATGAAATATTGAAGTCATCGACGGAAAGTGACCCATCAACGCAACTGTTCAGAACGTTAGTGAGGCTGTTAATTTTGATGCTAAAAAGTGTGACAGACAGGATGCTGCCTTGGGGGACGCCCTGATCTTGGTGGAAGTAGTCAGACAGTGTGGAACCCACCCGAACTTGGAATTGTCTGTTATTTAGAAACCGAGATATGAATTGAGGTAGTCTACCCCTCAATCCAAATTCGTGTAAATCTTTTAGTATACCATGTTTCCATGTTGTATCATATGCTTTTCTAAGTCGAAAAGATATAGATACTGCATGTTGTTTGTTGACAATGGAGTTTTGATGAACGATTCCAGACGCACCAGATGGTCAATGGTACTTCGGTTTTTTCGGAAACCACATTGGAGGTCACTGAGGAGGTTATTGGTCTCCAAGTACCAGATTAATCGATTGTTGACCATGCGCTCCATGGTTTTGCAAACGCAGCTAGTTAGTGATATAGGACGGTAGTTTGAGGGATCAGTATGGTCGCGACCGGGTTTTGGTATAGGGATGATGATGGCATTGTGCCACGAAGGGGGGGGAAGTGTCCGGATGTCCAGATGTCATCAAATATATTTAGGAGTGTTTCCAAGCCTATGTCAGGGAGGTGTTTCAGAAGCTGATAATGGATTTCATCAGCTCCTGCCGCAGTGTCGTGAGCCTGTCCTAGGGCAGTACGTAATTCATGGAGGGAAAACGTTTCGTTGTAATCCTCCCCATTATCAGAGTTAAAATTGACTGGTTTCTTTTCTTGTTGGGTTTGATATTTGTGGAACTGAGGGTTATAATTTGATGAGGAGGAGTGGTTTGCCAAAGTTTCGCCAAGTTTGTTTGCAATTTCAGATTTATTTGTTAGAAGGGAGTCACCATCTTTCAGGTGGTGAACTCCTGATTTTGACCCTTTGCCCTTGATCTTTTGAATCATGTTCCACACCTTGGACATGGGTGTGCGGGAGTTGATTTTGGACACATATTTCCTCCATGAGTGGCGTTTAGTTTGTTTGAAGGTACGTTTTGCCCTGGCATTTGTCATTTTTAACAGCATTCAAGTTATGCACTGTAGGATGATGTCGGAAATATTTTTCCGCCTTCTTCCTATTTTTCCTAGCTTGTTTGCACTTTGTATCAAACCATGGTTTGCGTATGTGCGGGTTTGCAGAGGGCTTAGGAATAGTTTTGTCTCCGATGGCATTTAGGACGTCTGAAAATAGCTCCATGGAGTCAGGAACATTCCTGAAGTTGTCCGGCTTAAGTTTTTCTGAACATAGGGTTTGGAATAAAGGCCAATTGGCCTTAGTAAAATTCCATCTTGTTGATGGTGGTTCATCCGTGGGGTTGATAGGAGTAAGAATTGTTGGGAAGTGGTCGCTTCCACAAAGGTCGTCATGGACCGACCATTCAAACTCATTTAAAAGATTTGAATCTGTAAGTGATAGATCGAGAGCAGAATATGATCCAGTGGCAGGATGGAGGTAGGTGTTTGATCCATCGTTGAAGATGCATACATCATTATTGGAGAGAAACTCTTCAAGGATCTTTCCCTTACTATTTGTATCATTACTCCCCCATAGGGGGTCAATAAACCAGGAGAGAGTAATAACATATTGCATAGCCTAAACAACTATCAAACCTCAATGTGAATAACACAATGTGAACCCAGAATTTCTGTGACCATTTTGTTTTAGTACTGGTAACATGAGCATATATAATGTGTTCAAATATATACCCTTGATATCCGGAATGATGCACAAGGTTTTAAGCCATGAAAACATTTGAAAACTTGCAAATTTACAAATGTTTTCCCACCTAAAGAAATATTCATATTTCGAACCCAAGTAAACTTAGAAAAGAGTCGGAAATTACATCACATATATTACAATCAAAATGAATGCATTGGGAATACTGTGTATTTCAGAGGTATATGACGGGTGTGTACATTTGGTGGTAAGATACCATAACGCCTTTCTGATCAGTGTGTCATATCTTTGCTGGTGTAAAATAAATAAAGAAAACCAAAGTCGTAATATTTCACATTGTAAACAGAAAAATGGAACACCATAATGTCACTTGTAAACCTTTCATTAGGATGTCATGCTATTATCCATCAACTGTAAGGGTTTCACGGCATGTCATTGCAGCTGGAGCGTGAAGTGACACATATATAAACAATATTGAAACTGATCAAAACATATCTCCTTCTGACATCAGTTGAATTGTTGTGTTTCATGCATGCAGTGCCAACCAAAGATATGTATGATCTTCAAATGATATAGCTGAATTATAAAAACATAATTTTGGTAAAATTACCTTAAATTTGTAAAATTGATAAAGTTGCAAATAAGTTAAGACTAAATGGTTTTCGTGGACCTTCTTTAACTTCATAACTGTGCATGTAAAAATCAATGTACAGGAAGGTGTCAAAGAGGTTGAACCTGTTGTGTACTTCGGCATGTGGAGGTGGACTTGAAACATGTTCCCGTGATCTTGACATTGTTGACATTGGCTACCATATCAACTAGGAATACACTATGACTATTAGGAACAATAGACACGAATTGGCATGAAGGAAATGTTGCTTGAGTTAAGATGACATGGCTGACTCATCATTCTTTGATGAGCAAAGAAAGACATCTGGAATAATAGAATTTTACATTTAAGAGCTTTCTGTTATGTTGTTTGATTTTAGAGATAGTCCGACAGTATCATCGACATATTTGGTATCGTTGACTATCTAAAGCATGGAGCTGTTACTGTTGAACAGACATTATATAATATTTTACTGATCTAGATACAAAGTACCAACTTTTGTTTCCTTGTAATGTTTTTTTCATGCATACTGTGCAAACCAAAGGTATATATGATCTTATATATATGATATATGCCCTAGCTGATGACAACCGGCTTTAAATCAAAGCCAAATCATTCCTGATTGTGAAAAATCACAACCCGTTTGGTCGCCAGACCTGCACCACATTTTCACCATTTGGGGGGTCTGGCTTCGAGACCATACCTGATCTGAATTTGGAGAAGGCAGAGCGGTAAGAACGGGGCATACTCATACTCACATAACTTTCACAGCCATTGCAAGTACCGCGAAGGCTACGCTCATTGAACCGAGAAGCGTCACGATTTTAGCATTCCCGGCAATGAACCGTAAATACATGCTCATTTTCTTGTGTATAACAATTTGCAACCAACAGACATCATAACATGTCATGTGTACAAGTATCACACCTGGCTGTCTGTCTAAGTACATATTGTGACAGAGATGCGTTTTGTTTATGGTGTATAGCCTGATAGGTGTTAAGTTCAAATTGCATGTGGTCAGTGATCGAAGTTGTGTATTGAATATTGTCATTAGCAAACAGGCAGGCAGACACATAGGTGTCAATAAAACCGACACTGAGTTTTGTCTGTGACAACGACATATCTGTGTCACAGTTAGATATTCTGTCAACGCTAAATAATGACATTGCTTTTAAGTATCGAACTGAGAAAGTGACTCGGTAAGAAGAACGTGTGGTGAAACAGACAAATGAAATTATATAAACAGTTAAATCGGTAATCTACTGGTATAACATATAAAAAGCTCGCGCCTGTGAAATATCAACAAAACATTTAAAAAAAATAGCTCACACCAAAGCCTTCACCGAGTATTCACCGGACAACCCGCTGCGCGAACCTATTTCACTGCGCATCTGCTATGAGCGCAGCCCAGCTGTTGAAACCACTTTTCCCCCAAGCGCTTGGAGAAAATTAGTGAATCTTTTGAACTCCGACTTCGCGCGTTTTTTTTCATCGCGTTATTTTTCCACTTTTTAAGTTGAATTTGCATTTTTGATGATTTGTTTCGGTAAGTCCATATCGAAAGGTATCAGAATCTGCAAAGTTGTGTTTTACGTTGCATGCGACCTTTAACATAACGTTAGGAATACTTCTTACCTTTTTAAAAATATTCCTCATTTTGTTACAATCTATTTGAGATTTGATTTTCCTTGACTTCCTTGTGTACTGGTCCGTGGCTGTGGTCTCCAGGGGCCCGTTTCACAAAGCCCTCTTACCGGTACGACCTCGTAAAGCCGGTCGTAGACCACCTCTTACTTTTACCCTGTTTCACAAATACCTCGTATATTTACACTGTGTCGTAAACAGCCCAAAATTTAGGACCCCGATTGACCTGTCGTAAATGCTTTAGGAGGTCGTAAACACTACAAAGATGGCGTCAACGATTATGGCACTGCAAGTGATTAAAACGCGCTAACAAAGAAGACCTGAGAAATTTTGAGACAGGTCGAACGTGCTCGACACTCATGTTGTTTTCTAACTGCGCAGAAAGTTAGAGACTCAACTGAACAAGGCGTTCACATGCTATTCCGACCTCCCTGCAAGTGTTGTGTACACAGAGATATTTGGCAAAAGGGATTTTCCTCAGTGAAATCAGGGATCTCCATGGAGTATCTCGAGCTAGTGTGTCAAGAATACTCCGCGACACCGCTAGTGCTCTGGCCGCGTATCTGGACTTGATTAACAACCCTGGGTGCCACAGGGACATATGTCCTTCCTCTTCAACCCTCACTTTGAAGTCCAATAAAATTCTAAATATATCAGGCACACAAATATACTTCACAGTTTTGACAAAGCTAACAGACAAAGCTAAAGTGCTTAAATAACCTTTCAAAATAGGCTTCATCGTAAATGTCGCCATTTTATACACAATACGAAATCACGATTCACAGCATTATTTGCTGTACAGTGTAGACAGTATGTTTTCAAATGTGAAAATCGGATAATTACTGGGAGTACTGAATTTCAAAAATAACATATTAATGATAACTGAAATCAGTTTTTCATGATATCACTAATGATAATCTGAAACGCTGCCGATGAACCTAGAATCGGTTTGGATGTTTTCGAAAATATACTTACACGAACGCCGAAGTGCGCTTTCCGCCATATTGGATAGTGTTTTTACCAAATCACGTCTCGCAAAGGCCGGTATTGAGACGCCTATCACATCACGTATATTTCATAGTCAGCTGCGAGATTCGATTTATACTGCGTAGCAGCCGGCTATTCATTGCTTGCAATGGCTCAATACCTTTAGAATATGTATGGAAAGAGTATCATAGCAAGAAAGAGGAAATTAAAAATAGATACAATGCAATGATTTGATTTGATACTTCATAAGAAATTGTCAAAGTTTCCGTGCAGCGTGACGCCATAACAGACGCAAAATCACGCAGAACGACAACGGTAATTAACAGCATTTCTGGCTTCTTCTCTTACTTACAAAACATTAAGTGCCTAGTTTTGTGGACAACTCAAAAAAAATTTCTAGACAATATTCATATAAACATCTTGCTTCTACTGTAACGTTAATAAAAATATGCATACCTTGGTTTTAGTAATATGTAATGATATACACAAAAGAGTTACACATAACATGGTCATGACACTATGAGCATCGATCTTCACAAGTGGGATACGATGGCATGCATCAAACAAGTAAGTGAGAACGACCACCCGATCATATTAGTTCGCTCTTACAACATGGGTTGCTGAACATTAATTTTGGCCCAACATATTTGTGAACCTGTGAGAATGGTTAATGAATAAATGCATAGTCAGTCTCATGATATCTATTGTAGATCTTTCCAAATCCTATTGACAACAGAATGTATGTCGCCAGTATCTTTTCTGGTCTCTGCATAAGTCGTACCTCAGAGAGCCAATTGTCAAGTTGCATTTAATTAATATCAGCTGTTCCGTACACGCACAGAAGTTGGTATATACGTTGACAGAGGCTTTAGAATTATATTTTGCGCGGAAAACCTTGAATCGTCTATACATATTGACAGTATTGAGTGACCTCGTCTAGATGGATACTAAAAGACCAACTGTCGTTCCTTTCCTGATTTCCATATGTCGCATGACTACGTTGTCCTTCAAGCAGAGAGTGAATTAACTGACAATAGTTATCGTATCATGGAATTGGCTCACGTCAATCACTATCTTCATCAGCTGACGCACGTCGACAGTACAACGTCAGCTCTAACATATTGACAGACCTCACCCAGATGAACATTACCAAGTCGGCTGTAGTGTGTTTCAAATGCTTGCCCAGATCTATATATTTAGTTTCCGAATGCTAATATTACTAGGATTAAGGTTTTTAAATGCGTTTCCCTCCTTGTAAGAACCACATTCGCTCTGTATCGCTGGGACCTTACACATGCCAGTAGTCTGTCTCATTCTCCAAACTTTCGGCCCAGCCCCTTCTGTAATGCAATAGTCCAAAATGAAGCCAGTCTAGTTCTGAGTCTCCGAACTCACTGGGGCTAATTCAGTATATACGGAGTTATATATTGCTATCAAAATTTCCTATTTTCAGAGGCTTTCGCTTGGTATAACGGTATTTGTATGGGCTGGGGCTATTCAAGATGAAATCCACCTAAGCAGGATTAATCGATTATTTTCTCACTAATACAGTGAGTATCGAATGAAGACACCTACTTTTTGTTTGTACCATCAGCTCCCAGTTTTTCCTGGTTACGTCAGTGTGTGTGTGTGTGTGTGTGTGTGTGTGTGTGTGTGTCTGTGTGCGTGTGCGTGTGCGTGTGTGTCCTAATTGGTGAAATGCCACACAACTACATCGTAATCACTATATTTATTCATGGGTAAATTTTCATAATGCTTGCACTGTAAACTGATCAACATGTGGATGCCTGATGGGCATTTAGAAGTTGGAAGATAACATAACAACGTATGGTATGGATTTACAACTTCTTTATTATTTACAACACAACGTAATTTCTAGGCTGCTTCTTGGTAGCCTAGAAACGTTGTGTATTTATGATAATGAATATTTGCTTGATATTGTATGGAATATGGAAAGGTTAATCCAAGTACATTGTATGTACAATTGCTTGTGCGATCTCTTAATCAGGATGATTATTTTCTTCAATTATCCATGGGGTAGTGGAGATAGAGGAAAGATGGGAGGTATATGTTCAAGGCGTTAATGCGTTGATACCTCCAGACATCTAGATAACCTGCAGCGTTGCTTGAAATACTAAATCAATACATTTGAAAAAAAGCTTACCTAAAAGAACTTTGAAAAGTAAAACAACACTGTGTGAAAGTACCTGTGAGTAATGCAGCTTTAAGCAGGTTTCGATCACAAGTATTTTTACAGATGTTTTGTTTTTGATTGAATGCATGAATCATAAATCAAGATCAGCGCTGTATAATGCATGGATGCGAAACATGTTGCAAACTGTAATGTTGTTGTCAGTGAACTCCCAATAAACCAGGAGAGAGTAATAACATATTGCATAGCCTAAACAACTATCAAACCTCAATGTGAATAACACAATGTGAACCCAGAATTTCTGTGACCATTTTGTTTTAGTACTGGTAACATGAGCATATATAATGTGTTCAAATATATACCCTTGATATCCGGAATGATGCACAAGGTTTTAAGTCATGAAAACATTTGAAAACTTGCAAATTTACAAATGTTTTCCCACCTAAAGAAATATTCATATTTCGAACCCAAGTAAACTTAGAAAAGAGTCGGAAATTACATCACCTATATTACAATCAAAATGAATGCATTGGGAATACTGTGTATTTCAGAGGTATATGACGGGTGTGTACATTTGGTGGTAAGATACCATAACGCCTTTCTGATCAGTGTGTCATATCTTTTGCTGGTGTAAAATAAATAAAGAAAACCAAAGTCGTAATATTTCACATTGTAAACAGAAAAAATGGAACACCATAATGTCACTTGTAAACCTTTCATTAGGATGTCATGCTATTATCCATCAACTGTAAGGGTTTCACGGCAGCTGGAGCGTGAAGTGACACATATATAAACAATATTGAAACTTATCAAAACATATCTCCTTCTGACATCAGTTGAATTGTTGTGTTTCATGCATGCAGTGCCAACCAAAGATATGTATGATCTTCAAATGATATAGCTGAATTATAAAAACATAATGTTGGTAAAATTACCTTAAATTTGTAAAATTGATAAAGTTGCAAATAAGTTAAGACTAAATGGTTTTCGTGGACCTTCTTTAACTTCATAACTGTGCATGTAAAAATCAATGTACAGGAAGGTGTCAAAGAGGTTGAACCTGTTGTGTACTTCGGCATGTGGAGGTGGACTTGAAACATGTTCCCGTGATCTTGACATTGTTGACATTGGCTACCATGTCAACTAGGAATACACTATGACTATTAGGAACAATAGACACGAATTGGCATGAAGGAAATGTTGCTTGAGTTAAGATGACATGGCTGACTCATCCTTCTTTGATGAGCAAAGAAAGACATCTGGAATAATAGAATTTTACATTTAAGAGCTTTCTGTTATGTTGTGTGATTTTAGAGATAGTCCGACAGTATCATCGACATATTTGGTATCGTTGACTATCTAAAGCATGGAGCTGTTACTGTTGAACAGACATTATATAATATTTTGCTGATCTAGATACAAAGTACCAACTTTTGTTTCCTTGTAATGTTTTTTCATGCATACTGTGCAAACCAAAGGTATATATGATCTTATATATATGATATATGCCCTTTCTATTAAAATTGACCTTTGACCTTACCAAAATATTTTTGCGATGAACATATATGTAATATTATTGTCCACAATTTTCAATCATGATCTGAGCATTCCAAAACTACAATTTTGATGAAAATCGGTCACTCCAAAACAAAGTTATTAAATTAAACCACCCAGTTATCGGTTAAAATATTGCCATAACTGACATGACATGTTGCACCTTAAAAGGGCCTCTGTACGGTAGTCACGCACGGTAGCTGATGACAACCGGCTTTAAATCAAAGCCAAATCATTCCTGATTGTGAAAAATCACACCCCGTTTGGTCGCCAGAACTGCACCACATTTTCACCATTTGGGGGGTCTGGCTTCGAGACCATACCTGATCTGAATTTGGAGAAGGCAGAGCGGTAAGAACGGGGCATACTCATACTCACACAACTTTCACAGCCATTGCAAGTACCGCGAAGGCTACGCTCATTGAACCGAGAAGCGTCACGATTTTAGCATTCCCGGCAATGAACCGTAAATACATGCTCATTTTCTTGTGTATAACAATTTGCAACCAACAGACATCATAACATGTCATGTGTACAAGTATCACACCTGGCTGTCTGTCTAAGTACATATTGTGACAGAGACCGAACTCGGGCCATAAATCAATGCGTTTTGTTTATGGTGTATAGCCTGATAGGTGTTAAGTTCAAATTGCATGTGGTCAGTGATCGAAGTTGTGTATTGAATATTGTCATTAGCAAACAGGCAGGCAGACACATAGGTGTCAATAAAACCGACACTGAGTTTTGTCTGTGACAACGACATATCTGTGTCACAGTTAGATATTCTGTCAACGCTAAATAATGACATTGCTTTTAAGTATCGAACTGAGAAAGTGACTCGGTAAGAAGAACGTGTGGTGAAACAGACAAATGAAATTATATAAACAGTTAAATCGGTAATCTACTGGTATAACATATAAAAAAGCTTGCGCCTGTGAAATATCAACAAAACATTTTAAAAAAGTAGCTCACACCAAAGCCTTCACCGAGTATTCACCGGACAACCTGCTGTGCGAACCTATTTCACTGCGCATCTGCTATGAGCGCAGCCCAGCTGTTGAAACCACTTTTCCCCCAAGCGCTTGGAGAAAATTAGTGAATCTTTTGAACTCCGACTTCGCGCGTTTTTTTTCATCGCATTATTTTTCCACTTTTTAAGTTGAATTTGCATTTTTGATGATTTGTTTCGGTAAGTCCATATCGAAAGGTATCAGAATCTGCAAAGTTGTGTTTTACGTTGCATGCGACCTCTAACATAACGTTAGGAATACTTCTTATCTTTTTTTTAAAAATATTCCTCATTTTGTTACAATCTATTTGAGATTTGATTTTCCTTGACTTCCTTGTGTACTGGTCCGTGGCTGTGGTCTCCAGGGGCCCGTTTCACAAAGCCCTCTTACCGGTACGACCTCGTAAAGCCGGTCGTAGACCACCTCTTACTTTTTTACCCTGTTTCACAAATACCTCGTATATTTACACTGTGTCGTAAACAGCCCAAAATTTAGGACCCCGATTGACCTGTCGTAAATGCTTTAGGAGGTCGTAAACACTACAAAGATGGCGTCAACGATTATGGCACTGCAAGTGATTAAAACGCGCTAACAAAGAAGACCTGAGAAATTTTGAGACAGGTCGAACGTGCTCGACACTCATGTTGTTTTCTAACTGCGCAGAAAGTTAGAGACTCAACTGAACAAGGCGTTCACATGCTATTCCGACCTCCCTGCAAGTGTTGTGTACACAGAGATATTTGGCAAAAGGGATTTTCCTCAGTGAAATCAGGGATCTCCATGGAGTATCTCGAGCTAGTGTGTCAAGAATACTCCGCGACACCGCTAGTGCTCTGGCCGCGTATCTGGACTTGATTAACAACCCCTGGGTGCCACAGGGACATATGTCCTTCCTCTTCAACCCTCACTTTGAAGTCCAATAAAATTCTAAATATATCAGGCACACAAATATACTTCACAGTTTTGACAAAGCTAACAGACAAAGCTAAAGTGCTTAAATAACCTTTCAAAATAGGCTTCATCGTAAATGTCGCCATTTTATACACAATACGAAATCACGATTCACAGCATTATTTGCTGTACAGTGTAGACAGTATGTTTTCAAATGTGAAAATCGGATAATTACTGGGAGTACTGAATTTCAAAAATAACATATTAATGATAACTGAAATCAGTTTTTCATGATATCACTAATGATAATCTGAAACGCTGCCGATGAACCTAGAATCGGTTTGGATGTTTTCGAAAATATACTTACACGAACGCCGAAGTGCGCTTTCCGCCATATTGGATAGTGTTTTTACCAAATCACGTCTCGCAAAGGCCGGTATTGAGACGCCTATCACATCACGTATATTTCATAGTCAGCTGCGAGATTCGATTTATACTGCGTAGCAGCCGGCTATTCATTGCTTGCAATGGCTCAATACCTTTAGAATATGTATGGAAAGAGTATCATAGCAAGAAAGAGGAAATTAAAAATAGATACAATGCAATGATTTGATTTGATACTTCATAAGAAATTGTCAAAGTTTCCGTGCAGCGTGACACCATAACAGACGCAAAATCACGCAGAACGACAACGGTAATTAACAGCATTTCTGGCTTCTTCTCTTACTTACAAAGAAAACATATAACAATACACAGATAGTCAGAGTCACTCTGATTACTTACATTTCATATTTATGTACAAACGATCCCTGAAGCAAGGGAAGAGTCTTCGCAAAATCCTGTGTACCCTTGTCAGCGAAGCCGCCATTTTGTAAGAAATCGGTCATCGGTTGTGATGTCACACGTCAACATTGTTGTAGTACTAGAGAAGGCCGGATGAAAAAAGAGTAAACACAATGGTCCTATCCTTCTGATTATACTTTTAGTACTATGATGTATATTTTCCGTATCATTCAGATATTTTTTTTCATGAAACCAATTTCAGTAGATTCTACCTACATTTTGCCTTGTTTAATATCATATCATACGTGGATACAGGGTATACGTTTTTATTCTTTGAAAGTTTTGGATTGTTTGAATAAAAGTTACAAAAGAAATTGACACATTTAGAGTATCACACCACATTTTAAACCTTTACACAGTGTTAGTAGATCAAGCGTAGCCATAACTGCAACATTGAGTTTAGGTCCTATAGTGTGCAATATTCAATACATTTATACTAATATTGCAGTTTCATATGAACAAGTTAATGGACAGCGATTTAATTCAAACCTTATAAGTAAAACTGATAATATTAATGGAAATGATTTATACATTTTATCTTGTAATTTTCAATGAAATTTAGTGAGAGAATCCAAAATAATTCATTTATTGATATTTTTTTTGCCATAAGATAACCTGTACATTGAATTAAAAACATAACATTTGCATTGTTATTCAAACTGTTTTTCTATTTTGAAATACTTAAGGGAATAACAAGATAAACAGGTGCCCGTTCGGTCTCGCTTTATGCGTTGCTATGCAACAAAGTACCTCTTATACAATGTACGACATGGATTTAGGAACGCGTCGTACGACATGGATATGACGTCTTTGTGAAACGGTCGTAAAGGAGGTCGTAAACAAGGTCGTAGGGTCTACAACCTCCTAAATTTAGGTGGCTTTTGTGAAACGCGGGCCAGGAATTTTAGACATTATGTCGTTCAATGTTGAGACTGTTGCTCTGCAGTCTTTCTGACTGCATCTCCATGAGATCCATTCTCTCCTTCTCTCTTGTTCAGAATGAACATATACCGGTAACCATTTACACATAGATATCTTCAACCCCGAAAAGTAGGAAGAAACTTCTAGTCTAACTGTGCATTTACCATAACTGAATTTGTGGAAATAATGGTGAAAACTGTCATTTCCAAAATTCTTATAGCAAGTTTCTGCAAGAAAATGAATAACTCACAACTTATGAATTGAGTGAACTAATTTATAAATCAAAGTGACTGTGTGAACTCACTAACATGGATTCAATCTCATACTGGTAGTCTGGTATACATGTTTTATTTCTTTCTTTGAGTGAACACGTTTTTTCATCTTGTAGAATCCCTTAAAACAACACCGTTGTCAAAACATCAAACGATTTTTACCTTGACCCAAATGTCTAACCTACCCTTTATCTCGATAACCATACAAGAATGAATATGGGAACCCTTCTCTATGCATCGACAAGAATACCTATCAAACAAGCATGGAGTTGCTATTGACGTGGCGTCGTGTTCTCATTGCAGGTTTTAACATTTTCAAACGTATATAATTGTCACCACAACGACAAAACTATTTTACAGTTTAGTAGAAAACTTAACAGAAGCATCCAACCTGACCTTACAATGAGTGGTGTGATAATTCAAGACATAGATAATCACAAGCATCTAGACTTGACCCTTCAAAATAACTGTAACTGGGATATTAACATAAAGTCTATTGGCTGGCTTATTATGAAACTAATGTCTTGTCTAAACTGGAATTTTTCAAATGTATCTTTGTCTCTGGAATCATCTGTGAGCTTGTGGGCTGATTTCTCTTGATCTATAATGAGTAACGTACTTCTTGTAAATGATCAAATTAATCTAGATGCACTTATGATTCAGTAAAAAGGGAATTTGAAAATGCTCGCCATACTAGCGGTAAATAGAACAGTCAATATCAAATTTTGACACATAGAACAAGAAGAATGCAGATGAGTGAAGTTAAACTAATATATAGAATTGGTTCCTAGTTGGTCGCATAGGACGGCGAATAGTAAACATAATCCCAACTTTAAAAAATGTATCACTTCAAGCGTGAGACGCAGTTGCATTGAAATCAAGCACAAAGGGATAATATGAAAATATGGCTTATTCCTGCAGTTTTCATGAATAAACATGTCACATGCAAGATACATTATGTATATCAACAATAAGAACTCTAACGGATCAAAAGATTCGTGAAATAGTTCAGTCTATACACTCATGGGCCGGGGATCCTTGGGAAAAAAGGAGAAATTGAAAGAAGTAGTGGTAAAATCCTTCCTTAATTTCCAAAAGTTTCCAAGCCTTGGAAATATCATCTTTCCAATTTTGGAAATTTTTGGAAATATGATATTTCCAAATTGGAAATTTTTTGGAAATCACCATTTTTCTTCTTGTGTCATCAGTTGCTACGTCATCACACCACGCGACAGATAACGGTGAGTTACCTCACTTCTCGCGTCACCACCGAACTCGCCTGTCGCGCACAGCTATTAACCCGCCCTCCCTCCCCGTGCTCACTTGTTCCCGTCATCTGATTGAGTGTACATTGCAGTCTAGGAAATTTAATATGTATACATTGTACCTTTTATTCACTGTTCATGAATTAAAACGTCATGGTGTGTATGGCCTGTTTGAGGTGAGAAGTTCTCAATCGCTATGCTGCTGGTTGTCTGCTTTCACAGCGGAAACCCCATAATCATAATTCCAGCCTGCTTTTACAGTAGATGGAATTCATTCGTTCGCTATGCTCACCTCGTCTGCTTGGTCACAGCGGATAGGTGATTGTGTAATATGCTCTCGCTGCTACTTCTCACCCCTGTATAGCCATCCACACATATTGGCCACTAATTCCCAAAGCAAATATCTTCCTTTTCATTTATAAC